GTGAGACTTTGTTTGCTATTTATTTTTAATGTGTTTAGCCATTCAATACTGGGTGTTAATATTCCAGGTTGAGAATACTGGCAGAATCCAAGGGTTTCCGATTGGATGATACAGGGTTATTTCCAGCTACTCGTGGCTCTGGTGGCCAACGGGTATGCATCATTGTTTTTATTTTCTGTTACTTGATCCTAATTTCTTAATTTATTGTGGCACTGAATGTGTAATCCAGGGTAAAGGTAGTGCCAGTTTGAAACTTCGGACAGAAAAAGAGGTCTTTGATTTCCTTGGCTTTCCTTGGCTTGAACCGCATGAAAGAAATTTATAACAAACGGGCAGCTCTATAGATCCGTGAATTTCCAGACGCCAGGGTTTGCTTGATGACTAACGTCCCTGGAAGAGATGTGCCTGTCATGCTAGCTTATAGTTAACTTGGTTGTCCACTCGGGTGATGATTATTCAAAAAAGCTATGCAGGCGATCTGAAGGGGACGAAGTTCGCTCCATAAACTAGTCCTTGGAATTCTTGATTCCCTTGGTTTACGTTCTTCAAAGTGGAAAATTCTTGTGAATATATATGTAAATAATGTGAATCATCTCTGTTTGCACAAATCAAATTTTGGAATGTTAACCTAAAGTATGTATATCAAATCCTGTCGAGGAAGATACAAGATTTTACTTCTCGTTCCCCCCCCCCCCCCCCCCCCCCCTCTCCAAACCCAGCTTTTTTTTTTTTTTCGAAAGAATGCAACTTCCCATATCATTGGAGTTAGATTCTTAAAACTTCTTTTCCTGTGTGCTTGAAACAACAGTCTCCTTTTCTTACTCTTAGGTGTAGCGTATTCCCTTAGCTTCTACCCATTTTTTTAATCTTATGGCTGGCCAAAAAAATTAAGGTAACTGAAATTGATCCTCACTTCCCATGTAGGCAGCAATAACTTGCTCCCAAAATCAGAAACTTTTGGAAGGCTTTAAGGTGAAATTACGGAGGTCCAAATTTGGAAACTTACTGAAAAGACGTTTGAAGGATGGATTGACGTATGTGTTAATCCTTAACTGAATCGAACTTTGTCTTGTCTATATGTTACTCCTATTGGAGGTCGACGAATTAAACAAGGTACCAAATTGGAATCCTTAACTAAGTCGAACTTTCCCTCTTCGTCAAAATCTTTCGTCTACATATTATTGAATTGGAGGTCGACCAACTAAGCAAGGTGCGACTTTGATCTCTTGCTTCTTTTGTTAATCATCTACTTTTATCTCCAACGCCTGGTTTATATATTGGTTTGTACTGTAGTACTAAACGATATGGGTATGCCTAAACTGAAGATAGAAGGGGCATGGGGTGGGGGTGCGGTATTGGAACTGGAATTAGAAGAATGGACGGTGGCCATGTTGAGAGAAGTAGTTGCAAAGCGATCTGGCTGCTCCGGAGGGCCTCAGACTGTAAATTTAATAGCCGCTGGCAAAGTCTTGAAAGATGGCGATGGCACTGTAAAGCTCAGCCAGTTGGGTCTCGAGAACAATTCCAAGATTTTGGCGTCAAGGGCCTGTGCTGATCAAGGCAAACTGAAACAAGAATTCTTGGCTGAAGAAGAGCGCTCCAAGCGACTCTCCAGTTTGCTGCGACTTCCTTGGCCCGGAGACATACTGATGGATCATTACCTGTTGAAAACTTCAACTTGGAGTTGGAGCTCCAAAATCAGAGCAGGCAGAAAGTTCAGCTGGGCACTGAGACCTACCACGAGTAATAATGATGGGACTCATGTTGCACACCAATGCTAAGCAGTTGATCACAAGAGAGAAGTATAGAGGTGCTGAATAAGGGTGAGGAGGCATTCTCCCTGTGCGATCCAAAGGCCATTGAGCTGGTTGACAATGTATCCATTCTACAAATAGACACTGTATGGTGCTATTTCATGCTCCGCGATATCAGCTGGCTTGCAGTTGCTAGGCGACGCCTTGCAAAAGCCAGAGAGGGGCTTGAGCGTCCATTCGTATGAGACTCCTCCAGGAAGGAGCACGATGTCCCTAGCTTCCTTTGTGCCTTAGGCTGGAGCTGTTGGAAGGAATAGTAGCATATCATAGTGGGCAGTTTGAAAATTGTAGGAGGGCCTTGAGTGCTGCTCAGATGAAATTTTTTCAGCTTCAAAGTGCCTGATGAAGCCTTGTCAATTCTCGCGGGCATGGGACACAAAGAAGGGAATGCTAAGAGGGCTCTTCGTACGAGTAACCTGGATGTGGAGAGCGCTGTTGATTTTCTCGTTGAGGAAAGAGAAAGTAAGATAAAGAATCTCAAGAAGGACCCGCTGCATCTAGTAGAGATTTTGCAGAAGAAGCGATATGGAATGACACCACTTGGGAAAGCTGTGGATCTTCAGAAATTGGTTGAATTGCAGAGAGCTTGCCGTGGAAGCCTTGCGAAGAAACGAAAATGACACTCAAAAGTCTCTGGATGACTTGACAGATCAAGAAGCAAATGCTGCCATACAGGTTGCTATCGAACTTGGGAAGAGCAAAAGACGGAGAACAGAAGAAGCTGCAACGGTTGGACGACCCAATGAAGATGTTGCTGCAACCACGGGTGTTGGTACCCAAGGTTTAGGTTCTGTTGCTAATCATGCTGGAAATCCTTCAAGTCAAAAGGACGATATGCGGGATGAGGAGATGGAAGCATGGTTCAAAGTCGCGGTCGCGGTCGCAGTCGTGGCTTGGAACGTTCCACATCGATCTCGGCATATCGGTCACGGTCTCGGTGAGACACAAATTTTAAAGAATTTAATATTCTAAAAATTGTTAATAATATAAAAAAAGTATGTTAAACAAAAATAATAAAAAATAGCCAAAGAAATGGCCGAATCAATCCGTCGCGGTGTAACTCGGCCGATTTCTCGTCTTGACTCGGGATAACTCGGAGTGACTCGGCCGAGTCAATCCGTTGCGGTGACGTCTCGGCCGATTTCTCGGCGAAATGAGTATCTCGGTCTCGATTCGTCGCGGTCTCGTCTCGGACTAAGCCGAGACGGTGACGACTCGGCCGAATCGTCTCGGTCTCGGCCGAGTCTTCGAACCATGGATGGAAGCTGAACTTATCCGTGAATTGAGAGGTAAAGATGCATTCTCAGACTATTATGACATCGATGTTTCAAAAGAAGGTGAAGCTATTAACGAATATTTCACTCTATAGATAACAAATGTTAGAAAATTTCCATCTCCAGCAGATGAATAGTGTTTCTAGACAATTTTTTTTTAAAAAAATTATTGGTCAAGTATTGTGCTAAGATTGTTGCAGGAGTTTGCTAATCAAGGATTATGATGTATATACTGAGAAATTATATAAATGCACATAACTGGTGACAGTCATACATGATACGTCTTTCTTCTTCTTTTTTTTTGGTTTTTTTTTTTCAAATTTTTTCTTTGATTTTGTTCATCTGCTTCAATACTCTTTCTAGCAACCTACCTAATAGATTTTTCTTCTCAAGCCAGACGCAGGCATAAAAATCAGAAATCATCCAGTCCTTATTGGAGACCTTGCTGTTGTAGATTACCATTTTGTGATGTAAAATTTAACAGCATTTAACCTTTCGACCATATTCAGCTCTAAGACCATCTGTATCAGTTGATCATGCAATGAAATGAAATACAATTCTGTTTTGGCAACCCCTGAAGACCAGCACGACCAAAAAAACCCAAAAAAGGGAATTTTTTTTTTTTTTTGTGGGGTTGGGGGGGGAAAGAATTATTGCCTTTAGCTAATCCATTCGTTCGGAAGTGGAAGTTCTGTGTTAATTCATACCAGACTACAACCTTTAGAAGAAAACTGGGAAGGAAATGAAATCAAATTTCCGTGGTTTTTAATTACCATTTGTTTCCTCAAAAAAATCTACAATTTAAGTGGTTGTGAGTGAAAATGGTAACTCTATACAACATCAACCATAAACCAGAAAAAGAACAAGATGAAGATAGCCTCGCCCCATATTCTCTGTTCCTCGTGTACATTCAAACGCACCTTTCTCATCTCGCCTGCCTAAAGCTGGAGCATTCTTCCCCAGTTGTCAATTGTAATTGATGATTGTCAACCTCAGCTGGATCATATTGTTATTGATGATTGTCAGCCTCAGTTGGATCATCAACATGGTGGATTCTCTTTACAGAGAATTTTTTCTTGAAGAACCTTATTAGTTGTATAATAAGAAGAACAGCCATGTACAGCAGGGATACCAAAAAAAGCAGCCCAATTGCTAACTGAATCAGAAGCGAAAGCCATTTAAACAATTTCCTCAAAATCATGCTTGTTTACATAACAAGAAAGGCTGAGGATAAAGGAGGAATTAAACTACTCGATATTTTCCTTCCCTAGAAAAACAATTTCTTCGGCCCTTACCTCATCTTGCCTTTCAAATTCTTGGTTGTAGAGGAAGGGAGGGGATGATCATGAGGTTGAGGAAGACAACAACCCTAACATAGCCGTAGAAAAGAATTTAAGAAATATAGAATCAAATTTGTTTCTGCAGAATTGGTTCTTATGGTTGGCAAAATTAGGTTTGGTTACAGAAGATAAGTTTGCTTTTGCATTGATTACTGGAATAAATTTTTTTTTATTGATAATTTTTTATTTTTTTTCATTGACAATTTAGATTGAAAAGGTGCAAAACAATGGACATAGTTTGCTCCGGAAAAACAGGGACGACAAGTATAGAGTTACTAGTGCAAAAGGACCAGATTTCAGAAATTGTACCTCTTATTGGATTAAAAGCTTTGATAAATTCGACTATAGCTGATTTAGACCTCCTTTATATCTCATTAAAAAAAAATCGGAATTTACACTAGAAATAGCAATTAGAGTGTAACAAAATTGATAAAAAGGACCCATTTGGGTTTTGACATACACCTAAGTCAGATTCGAAAGGATGCTACTTTTTTTTTGTCAAATTTCGAAAGGATTCGAAAGGATGCTACTTGGGTATATAAATCAGAGGACATTCCATGAGGTACCCTACGTTCCTGAACTTGTGAATCCTTCTTCACTGTATCAGGTGATTAACTGACAGTCATAAAGCTACAAGGGGTCGATGTACTAGACATCAGTCCCATAGTGTACTTGGAGGATTTGTGACTTGTGATTTCTTACATATGCCAGCCCTTGTGGAAAAGTGTTAAAGAGATAATGAAAGCTATCAGACCAATAACTCAAACAGCAAGCTACAAAGCCAGCAACAAGAATGTAATCCATGATAATGAACAAGAAAGCATGTATCCCAAGAAAGATAACAGAACGAGGAAACAAAAAGTGGTAAACCAGTGGCCATCATATCATGTCCGTGTCATCCTTCTTTAGTTGTGAGAATACAGAAATTGCATCTACAATGAAGCGAAGCTGCTTTCAGTTGACCAGTTTGTATCAGATCCAACATGTAGAGCGCCAAATAACAGGACAGAGTCCGGGTGCTGAGAAGGAAAAAATCAAAAAACAAATTCCCCTTTCACGGATCGTTCACTCATTCTAGCTTTTAAGTGATGATTAAAACTGTCAGTTAGGATGCTCTAATTTGATTTGTAGCCTCCCTCATCAACTTCCAAATATCAACATTACATCCAAAAAAATCCTACAGAGAAATCCAAATACTTCAGTTCTTAACCACATCGATCGCCCAATTAACTGGCAAATCTCTGATAATTTGAAGACAATCACAACCCTGGTCGGCTCTTATCTAGTATTTCTTCCCAATCTATAAAACGCTCCAGCAACTCTTTTTCTTTGATAACTAAGCAATCAGGACTCTTCCCAAACCAGTCATACCGCCGCTTGGCAACATAATCATAGACAACATCCCTTAACGGGGTTGGGACAATTGTCAGAGAGCTTAATGCAGAATAAGGTAATGGCAAGTAAGACACAACCCTCAGTGCAGCTGCCAGAACAATAACAGAAATTAGGCAAATTGTTACACAATCAATAAAATACAGCAAATGTAATCATATGCTCAGTCTTGTCTTGGCATGCAGGATAACAACCAGAACTGAGAGTTTCTTACAATAGCTCCTGCATAATCGAGGTTGAATGCAAAGGAAAGCAACAAAAACAGTATGCTCACATCCACGTTGGCCCACTATCAGATTCTATACTATTCTCTCAACCTACTTAACTTCTAGCTATAAAACTAATCTGTTGACTTCAGTGAACGAAAATTTCACCATTAGCCCTAAAATCAGAAAAGGTCATCAGGAAAGCATTCTAGGAAAGAAGACTAGTAAAAGGTACAAATAGCAAGTAGAACACAAAATAGCTGCATACTAAACACGAGAATGTATTATCCAAAACATAATCTGTAGTTCAATTAAAAAGTAACGCCATCCCAATCAGAGGAGCTTGTAATCGACTGACCTCTTTCCCTTCTTACTCTCCCTCTTAACATCCACACTTCAGGTGTAATCAGATTCCAGAAACATAAACATGAATCCCTTAGGCAGCTGATTGTTCCAAGAAGCTGAATATGATCAACAGTGCAAGATAACTTGGAAAATCCATCTACTTTTCAAGGTGTGCAATTCCTCACCAGAGGCAGGAAAGATTACATTCTACTTTTGATCTGAGATCTGAATTCTTTATCCTCATTCATCTATTTGACAGTTCGAATCTAATTTGCACAAAATTTTCAGTAGCAAACGATATATACAACTCACTGATATTTCTTCTTTTTGGCTTTGAAAGCATAACCAAAGCCAATTATAGTACCAAAAGTAAGCCTGCAGCTACATGAAGCAAGATGACATAATCTTATAGCACAAATTTTATCACCATATGTATGGATCTTCCAACTAAACACTTTTCCACAGTTTAATATTTCATTTAAGATTTCATCTTGAGAAGCCTTAAGAGCAATATAGTCTAAAATATGTTCCATCAGGCCTATAACCAATAGAATTTCTGTCCAAGATAATGAGATACCAAAACCCAAATTAAAACCAAGAAGTGATGGAAACAAAGTGGAGTGAAATTTTATGAGCGAGAGAGAGTTCTAACCAGTGGAGCCTTGGTGGTAAAGACCTGGACCTTCAATGAACAGAAAACGGCGCAGAACATCATCTCTATCAACCCCACATCCTCTCATGTATGGTTCTGCAGCTTTAGATTGAAGACAACAGAATTTGATCTTTTTGTCCTTGTCAGCTTCAATCACCCACTTCACCCCTTCAATTAAAACGACAACATCAACATATATCCTCAGCATTCACAAGAATTCCTACCTACTTTGCTATAAATTCAAATCGAATGCCCCTTAGAACATTGTCCCTTTTGAAGTTTTCTATTATTCTTGGTTCTAAAATCTCGTTCACTCACCATATAATATCCTCACACAAGAAATGTGCCACTAATCTCAATCACATTAAACAAATTAATTTACTTAATTTTGGGCAGATAGCAGGAACAAACATTGCATCTTCTTCTTGGTAACTAGAAATTGTACCATTATTCAACAAAATTATCCATTTCCCCCTAATCATGGAACATTTTATGTAAGGAATCATAATGCTCAAATGGACATCATTTCGTTGACATATTCTCTTTATTTTTTTTAAGGTAAACAGTCTACTCAAATGTAACTCACGCTGAAACATTTTCAGTTTCCCATCATGAAAACCAATTCTATAATCTCAAAATATGGGCTATCCTTGCTCTCTCTCTCTCTCTCTCTCTCTCTCTCCATTTTGCCCAATCAAACCAAAAGTTTAACGAGTCACGTATTATTCTACAATTTTTTTCTTGAATTTATATACAAAATTCACACACACACACACAAAACAAAATACAAATGCAAGCATACAGTAGATTATAGGTACCTCTGTGGCAGAGGTGGCAAACGCCGTCGTACACGACGACGCCAGGCTGAAGAAGAGTGGGCTCCGTCTCGACCGTAGCAGCGGAAGCCGGAGGATTGTGGAGGAGTAAATCATCAGCCGCCACGTCAGCAGCTGCACCAAAAGCTAACGGCGGCGGGGGCGACGTTTTTGTTGAGAAATGCAAGCTGGCAAAGTTTCCCCGAACTGCTCTTAATGCTCCTAAACCACTTCTAAGCGTCATCACCGTCTTCATTTTCCAACTTTCTGGTCTGTAGAAAAAATAGGCTCTTTTTAAAAAAAAAAAATTGGGAAATTTATTTATGTTTGCTTTTATATTTCCATTTTGAATTCCACTTGTGCTTCTGTTTTTGGTTCCTTCAGCTCCAAGTCGGCTTTGATTCGATGGGGTTGAGTTTGTAACAGTTTGACGGCACGATGTCGTTTAGGGGAATTGTTCTGCAGCAGGTCCACAACAACAATTTTGGCAAAATCCCTTTGCAGAGCGCGACCGACTCAAGTGCGAGGCATGCGGGGCATGTAGAATGGAAGGTCCTGATTCAAAGTTGCTGAGAATGAACGGTCCTGATTGATATTTGTGTAAATCGTCAAACCAATCGCAAGATGACGTCGTACACAGCGTGTGTGCAAGATTATTCGCAGTATGGAGCGATGTTGTACATTGTTCCGAGAGCTTACAATAAGCGTGCATGGTGACTTAAGGACCAGTAGATTTCTTTGAAGAACATGGTACAAATTCATTTCTCTTGCACAATAATTCAAGTGGCACTCAAAATGGTTTTATCTTAGAACATCTCATATACCAAAAAGAAAGCAATTTGAATAGCATGGAAGTAATAGAGCACTGTCTTCAATTGCAAGAGGTTGCCTGAAGGGATTTAACTGGATCTGCAAATTACAGAGGAGCTTCAATCCAAAACGTTATGGGGATAACAGAGGTGTAAGGTTCAAATTTAAGTTGAAGTACTGACAGGAATGCTGGGAGGTGAGCCAGTTATGCTGCTGATGCAACGAGTTGCCAAAAGTGAAGCTTCTTCACAGAAATCAGAGAAAACTGCTGGGACTTTGATCTCCTTTATCAGTTCCTGCAGGACAACAACATTCAGTACTGTTCTAGACTAGTTTTAACTAGTTAAAGCAGGCTAAGCTAATGGAAGAGGTAGGAGCATATGTTCTCCCCAGCACTCTCTGTCTGTTAGCCATTCATGCTAGTAGAGAAAAATCACTTACAATAGTTGGCAACCAGCTCTTGTAAGCAGCGATACCAGCATTTGGCGCTATAATCAAATCAGGAAAAGAATCCTGCTATTGAACAAACCCGTCAAAACACAGTACAGCTGCAAAGGAAGTACACCTCTTCTACATAAATTTTTTTATCTAGAGAACCTTCATCAATTCTGTGTAAACGTCATGGTAACAACCAGCATGAAGCTGTAACGTGACTGAACAAGATCTATCCGACAATGGCTTAACAAAGTGGATATCTGATTTGCATTCACAGTCTCTATCTGTGCATTGAGCATAACTGCAGATGTCAATTCTCTCACCATCCCTAAGGTGCATATGAATAATGACATCAGTGTGACTGGAAATCAATTTCAGAACAGAAATTGCCAATAAAGAAGAGCATGGCAAAACAAAAAGGCAACAGTTATTAACCTTAGTAGCTTAGTTAAAGATGTTTGGGACACATTTCCCAGTATGAGATCTGAACAAAGCATCTGTTTAAATCACTCAACTTTAACTTTTTAGATTAAACAGACCTCCAGCTAATCCAGGCCAAACAAAGAAAGGATGATGTCATTTAGTTTGAGATAACTGCTGTTTTTCCTGCTTGTATCTTCCACACTTCAATCAACCAGCGACCTCCGTCAAATTCCCAGCCTTTTCACTTAGACTGGACCTCACACCTCTCTTATGGCTAGAATTAACCAGGAGTCAATAAAACTACAAGATTGAGATTCACCAGAACCAGAGCACTAAACAAAGTGGTGCTGAGCACAAGTGTCACCAATCAACTACTACCATATAGTGCAGATACAAGTACAATAAAACTTACACATTACAATGAGTAACCAACCTTTCTTGTGGAATTGCAGGCCCAACAAAGTCTATACGCACTCCTGCTCCAGGGAAAAGAGCAATTAGTTCACCAAAGGCCCCAAGTTGATGTAGCTCTTTCTCTGGCCCTTTCATATTTAATTCATTAAGTAAAAGTGAGATTTAGGAAGTGATGGGCTCCAAAAGACCAAAAATCAAAGAAGAACATCCCTTGCTAGTACACTTCATATCAGCATGCTATAAAATTGGCTATGATGAAGTCATCCTGAAAATTTCCAAAAATAATTTGAGGGAATACAGAGGCATGGCTTGATTAATTTTGAGGATTTCAAGTAGATCAAAGTTGTTTCATGTTTTCCATATGCATTACATTTGGCTACGCTTAGAGATATTCTATCACTCTCTATCCAGGAACATTTCTAGAACTTGATAAATCTTTGCACTAAAGGCCAATGAATATCTAATGAGGAACTTCACCAACTAAGTTATGATCCACAGCTTTACTTCACAAATCAATTGGAAATCAAGTAACGATAACATGGCTTAAACAGAAAATGCAGTATCAACTTTAGCATAGTAGAAGCCCTTAAAAAAAAACCCAGAAATGTTGTTTTCAATTGTTAGACTGATTAAATATATATCTGAAAGGAGAAGATACCTAGGTAATGTATACAAAACTTCTTGCCAACTATATCATCCAAGCTTCTTGACATTACAAGCTGATTAGCCCAATATAATGTCAGCGGCTGCAACAAAGAAAAGGGGAATAGCAGCTCTTACACCCAAACTTGATTGAGACCCAAAAAAGAGTGACACGTCCTACTCCGACATGATTACATGATTATTATAGTTCCAAAACCTTGAATAATCAAACAGGTTCTTACATATGTAGTTAAACCAATCATTTGTCCTGTTCAATGCAGTTGTTTGAGAATAACTGCAGAAAACATACCCAATGAAGAAGCAAAGCAACAGGAGAATAAAGCGGGATGCACCTCCATTCATAGTAGTCCTTCCAACAAGTAATTTGTTTCGGTATAGGGGATGGCGGCCCTAAAATTTTATCCCTAGGTAAGTTAAGTTAAAGGAATATCAAACTTTAGAAAGAAGAATATTCACTAAAGACAAATGGATAATACCTTTACAAGGACATAATGAGCCTGAAAGACTCCAACCTTCAATTGGTCTACCAAGAAAATGAAATATGTTTGTCAGAAAACACTTTCAACTAAAACAATTCAAGATCTCACCATTAAGCATACACTTATGTGCCTTACCATCTCAAATCTTGCATACAGTACATATGCAGAGACACACTTAGAATAACATTATGAGTTCTATATTTTTTGTTCCCCAAAGTTCATAGGGTAATGTCCGAAATTATTAAATACTAGTAAGGCCAATGCTGTAACTTGCATTCGTATTTCTTTACCTAGTCGTTTTATATCATTGGGAAATGAATGAGGGCAAAATCCAGTTATCCCAAACACCTCCCTTCCCCAAACAATGTTCAGCTCACGACGAACATTTTATTGGATACTGTGGTTCAGAAAAAAAGTGTGATAACAAGTTTGAATGCATCTCGCCACCAACAACTTCCTAACAGAGCCAAAATTTAGCATGTGCAATTGAAATTAATGTGAACAAATTTTCACAATAAAAGAAACAGTGATATGAGTTGCATCCAGAATTTCATCATCCCTTAAAACAAACCATAAAAAGGAAAAGAAAAAAGTCATCCCTGAAGATGAAAAGCCAACATTAAGTCGGCATAACACCTTGTGGGACATTGAGAATTAGTTAATGCCCCGCATCTACATTCATACATCCACATTCCCGAACAATGAACTCCCCGTTTCATCAAGAAAGAGCATCGAGTTTCACATCTTTCCCGTACCTGCTGAAATTCAAGTACTCTCTTAAACCAGAGCACAAAATCTTTACAGAATTGATCAACGCCCCCAGAAAATCTGAAATATCATTAATTACCTGAACAGTTGCTTCTCGAGTAAAACTGAAAGGAAAATCATTCAAAATATCAGCACGCTTCATTTGCTGTTCTAACCTTTCACACTCTACTTTATGGACACTCCGGTGTGCAACCTGAACTAGCAAACAATGTCCCGCACTTCAAAAAACAGTACTTACGAAATTTTCTTCAACAACAGTCGTACACACACACACACAAAACAAAAGTAAGTAACAACCATGACCTATGAAAAGATGTTTGTCTAAAAGCCTTAATGAAAATGTAAATACGAGAGTCTAATGGAACAAGAATTCTTTCCATGGCCTATGATATCGTTTATAAGCAGTTCCAACAACCATGGCTTTGTTTTTCCTTTCATTTTGCTGATTTTCTCTTTTATGTTTTTCATTGATCTTTGCCTTTTGTTATTTCTGGATTTTAACTGTTCTTGATATTTTTGGTTAGTGTTTGGGAATTCTTCCTCTCTCCTGTTAGTTCTAAAAAATGTTTGGACATATGAGGAGAGTTTTGCTTTTCGTAAGTTAATTTCTTTCCTCGCGGGGGACCGCGGGGGAAACGGGGCGGGGCATGGGGGGCAAGGGGCGGGGGACGGGAGGAGTTATTTGACAATGGGGCGGGAGACGGGGGAAGGATCCCCTGCCCCATTGCCATCCCTAGGGGCGGGGTGCACAGGCGCAAGGAGATTAGTCTGGTAAAGTTGGGATAATCCATGTGTTAAAAAAAAAGATTAGAAGAGGATAGTGGTGGCAATAATATTTTACTAAAAAAAAGATTAGAAGAGGATAGAGGTGACAATAATATTTTACTAACTCTGGAAATTAGGATAAGATTTATGATTGTCTAGTGAAAACACACGCGCACACACGAAAAAAAAAAAACAATTTGAAGACAAAAATCACTTCCTTCCAAAATCTTTTTAAGGTGTTGTACATTTCATTGGAACAGGACAACACAAATGGTGGTGCTAGAGAGTCCTCAAGGAGCGAGGGTTCTAATATTGGACTAAAGCCACCAAAATGGGAACGCTAAGAAAAACAAACAAGTTACTTCTAGCTAGCTAAAATAAAAAAATTAATTAAAGAGATTTTTATAGGTTGATACAAAGTTTATTAATGAATTAATTAATCAGTTAATTGAGGGGAGTGTAAGATAAGTAGGATATTTTTTTAAAAGTTTTTTCTTTTATATCACACCCTCGTATTAAAATGCACACCAAGATGCCAAACAATCAAATTAAATCCATACCAAGATACCAAACAGTCTACCTACACGCTCGCTTCTCATTCAATCTACAAATCAATGCCCCAATAAGCAAATTGTTTCGATTGCGTCACACTGCAACGAGCAATTGTTCAATGCTGATTGACTATTTTAGGACTAGTTCTGTCTGTGGTGCTTGATTTTGTGATCAGAAGATGCTGCCTGCTTTGTCCATGAGGTAATTCTTTTTGCTGTTTACTGCAGTTTTCTGCCACAAGCATTTCAAATCAAACAGAAACATACGCTTACTAGTCTCGAACAAAGAACTTCAATGGGATCCATAGAGCAAATTGAAATAAAAACAGTGGCTAAAATACATAAAGATGGGTTTGGATTTTAAACATTCTGTGAATACTCAAAAAACTCTCTCAACAAGCATTTAAAACTCCACTTGCAACTAATAAACTTTTTGAACTCAAAATTGTAGCAGACAGTTGAAAAAGCCTCAACTCTGCTGTGGCATTGATTCCCCCGGACAATCTCCAGAGCCTCGTGCATCTTGATCCAAAGTCCAAATGTTGGGAGATAACACGCCAAATTCCATACAATTCCCAGAAGACAGTAACGACCCGTGCAGCATCAAAGGCAAGATAGCGCCCTACACCATCTCTGGCATGGTTAAGACGTTCCTGCAAGAGAACCGATATGAATCGCTCAACAAAATCAATCAAAACAGAAGAAGGAAGGGAGACTCGTCAACCCAACTCCAATGCTTATGCCAATAAGCATTGGAAAAACCAATATATTATTATTCGAGTTGTGCTCATGAAAAAACCAATATAGCCTAATTAATCCAAAAAAAGAAAGTGAACAGGTAAATTGCGATGCCAGAGGAAGAGAAACAAAAAGAGAGGTGTAGGGCTCGTGACATGTACCTTAATTTCACTAACGCCTCTGGGTTTTTCCGATGGATCTTTTGCCAGAGAACAAGTGCTTGGGTTTCAGAGAAGGAATGACTCTGTCAGCCTCTCCACGCCGAGCATCCTTGTTCCTCTTCTTTACAGATTTCTTAGCCAGCTTCACAGCCTTAACCTTTTGAGCAGAGTCCTTGAAACCCTCTCCTGGGGCCACTTCATTTGGTGGACGTGACCTCGACCGAGATCTAGACCTCAAGCGCAGCAGCTTCTTGCTAGGTTGATCATTGTCTACATCCATGGCATCTTCTCCTCTTTCAGGTGATCTCTCCCTCTTACGACCTCTGGACTTACTACGAGCTCTATTAATCGCCAAACTAGGATCAAGTCCAAGAGATGATAACTGTCTTCCCATTCTTTCAGAAGTGAACTGTCTCTCTTTGTCAAATTTCCGGGGAACAATTGGTCGGCTTTCTGCAGTACTCTTCTTCATCCTATGCTGTTGAATGAGAAAGCTTTTCTTTTTCCTGATCTCAGCTAGGGCTTCTTGTTCTTCTGCAGTCAACTCAGCACCATCCATCTCAAAATCATCATCAGCCTCCTGTTCCTGCCGAATACCTTCCTCACGCTCCAATTCCTCAAGCCTCTGTAAAATATCAGGATCAATGAAATCATAGACATTGTGCCCATCCATAATTTCAGGCATTATATCCTCTTTCCATTCATCATTTGCAAGGATATGGTGCTTTCTTAAGCTAGCAGAGTATACACCTGCACCACCATTCTCATCCTCCAGATCCCTCTCAAGCTTCCTCTTCTCTTTCTCTGCAGCTTGGTCAGCTTTCCTAGCTTTAGCTTCCAAAACAGCCTGAGGTATGCATGCTGGCCTTTCTTTCTGGTCCCTGGGCTTTGGAATTGCAACGTGAAAACGATTCAAGCAGTCATTCAACTTCTTTGACTTCATTTTCATTTCTACTCTTTGGTTCAACAACCTTTCACAAGCTGCATTTTTAACTGCGATTACTCCCTCTTCAGTAAGGGTACTCATCGTCAACAGCACACCTTCATCATCCGTGGGTTCACCCCCTTGACCCATCACAGTCTTCATTGCTTCTGCTTTCATCTCCATGACCAACTTCATATCTTCCTCAGAAATCCCTTCAAGTGGTTGCAAGTCTGTTTTGTTGCAGACTATGATCAAAGGTTTGTTCATAAACAGCGACTTAATGCTATGAAAAAGAGCTGCTTGTTGTGCAATACTATAGCCACAAGACCCAGATATGTCCAAAAAGAATAGTACAGCAGCCCTGAGATGAGCCAGAGCTGTAATGCTGCACATTTCAATAATATTACGGTCCTCAAAGGGCCTATCCAGGATCCCAGGGGTGTCAATGACTTGATACCTTAAATACTTGAAGTCTGTGTGACCAACAAACAGAGACTTTGTCGTAAAAGCATAGGGCTGCACATCTACATCTGCTCGGGTAATTTTGTTAATAAATGAACTCTTGCCAACATTTGGGTACCCACATATCAAGATAGTCCTAGTATTTGGATCAATTGAGGGCAGTCTAGCCATGTGTTGCCTTATCTGTTCAAGATATGCTAAGCTAGGCCCTATACGCTTAATCACAGTACACATACGGCCAAGAGCAGCAACCTTCAAAGACTTGCAACGATACAAAGAATCACCATACTTCAACAATTTCACATAATCCTTGGCTATCTTACCAATTAAGTTCCTTGCAGTATTGATCTGCCCAAGAGCAAGTTTGTAATGGTCTTTGTTATAAAGGACATGGAGAAGATCACCATAAAAAGGATGAATACCATCAAGCCTAGGAAACTCCTCTATGATAGTGGACAGCTTCTCATGAAAGTTTTGTTGCGTATATTTCACTTTGCGCATGTAAAACTGGCGGATGCGAGAAATGGCATAACCCTTGTGAACAACAGTAGGTGTTTGGCGCTGTGTGCGAGAAAGGATAATATCAACAAAGTCCTTCCCCGTGGGAACAATGGTGATCTTTTTAAAGTTATACTGCACCATTCTTTCTTGAAGTATATGTCACTCTGCAAAAAAGCACATAAAAGCACTGGAAAATCAGATAATTCCGATTCTACTTTCTTCATTTTAGAAGATCAAGAAACAGATATCTTGTAGACAAGCAAAGCTCATTTGACAAGACTGTAGAGAATAACTGAATTTTCCAGCTAATTAAATAGGACAGAGTTTGTCACTTTTATTGCAAATGGAAATGACCCGAAAAAAGATATTAAAAAGAGCATATTTTCCAATCACTTCCAATAAGAACTGATGCACATAATTAACATCAACTTACTGACTCAAATAACACTTTACCTATTTGCTTCCAGAGATGAGCCTGGTCTAAACTTACGAAACAAATACACAACAAAAGCTGTTTCAAAATTTGATGTAATTTTAAACTCAAATTGACATGCCCAAAAAAAATCAAAAGAATTTTAGTACAAAAAAGACATCCCAAAATATAGATAAATAAAAGCACCCCACATTTCTTCAAATCACCCCAGTATATTTCCAAATCTCTCTCCCCTCACCCCCCCAAAAAAAAGTATTTTTGAATTCAGAAAGGCTATGAAAGATGACCAGAGTGAGAAAAAAAAAGATCAAATATTCAATAATTCGAGCAAGACATTCCAAAAACAGAAACAGACTCAATGATGAAGCTCAAAAACCCAGTTGAAAAAACACAAATATTTCTCCAAAATCCAGAAGAAAAGGCCAAAACATATTAAACCATACCAACGAACGTAAAAGAAATTTTACCTAAGAAATATATGCTGCCAACGGCTGATTTCGGTTGTGGCGTCCAGCTAGTAATGGAGAACTGGACCCTTGGCGGTGTTCCAGACGCCGTCGGCAAGGGGTTCTGGTGTTGGCTGTGAGCTCCAAGTCAGCTTCTTTAGTAAGACTAGGGTTTTGGACGTGTACTTTAATGAAGGGTTAATTTCACATAACTCCCCTGAGGTTTTTAACAACTGCAGAAAGCTCCCCTCAATTTCTAAAACTTATACTTACC